TGAAAATCATTCCCTTGCTTTTGGGAGGTTGACAGGGTAAAAGCTTGTTGATGCATTTGCACTTTCAATCCCTGATCCTTTCACTCTTTGGTCCTTTCCCCCCCATTTGGAAAACATGGGTATCCCGATGAAATGGGCTTTCCTGTGGGTGGGAATTGTTATAAGATGGATACTACGATTGCTAGTAAAACAACTATAATGTGAATACTTGATTTGTCTTTCTAGGTTTTGTTTTTCCCCACCCCCGTCAATTTAATTTTATTCTTTTGAAGATTCTTCGTTGTCAAGCCGCCAAAGTGGAGAGTGCGATTGCAGAAGGGGGTGCTTCTCGTTTCAGGTACTAATGCTTTTTTTTTTTTGTAAATGAGTATTTGCAGTGGAAACTTTTCAGTGGATTTTAATCTGCTTTCTTGAGTTGGCAGTAATTATTGCCAGTAGTGACACACAGTGGAAAATGTTGGTATTTTGAACTTACACAGACTCCATGATTTGTCTTTTAACAGTGCTTCTTCAGGCGGAGGAGGTGGTAGGGGTGCACCTCAGCACTATCCCAAGACTGCCAGCAACAGGTATGTTTCCTTGTTGTTTGAATTGTCATTTTCTAAAGGCAGAGGATAGATGATGGTGAATGAAGAGTTGAAAATAGTTCATTTTTAGACTTATGCAAAGAATACTGTTGTTTAAGTTACTGTCCTTCAGTCTGTGGCAAGATACAATACCCATTTAAAAAAAAAAAAGCCTGCTATAATACGGTGATGTGAGATGGATGGAGCATTTCATGCATTTAACTTCAAAGGTTTAGAGGAATGGTTTGAGGGTTTTTTTAATTGTTGAATGAAGGCTTTGCTGTACAGCGTACTGCAGTGTTGATAGGGTGGGTGCATGCTTCTGGTAAAAGTAAATGTAGTAATAATCTATTTAAGTCAATACTGGAAGGCCTGTTCCTGAAATTGCTTCTGCTTATACAATCCTATTTTTTTTTTTAATTTTACAGCGAGTTCCTGGGGAAAACCCCAGGGCAAAACGCTCAGAAATGGATTCCTTCACGAAGCACTAGACGAGATGACGACTCCGCAAACGACAAAGAACGACATGATGCAATCTTCAGGAAAGTAAGAGGGTAAGTTTTGTGGAAGATCCTTTTCCTTATATTATGTTTAGCAAGATATTAACAGTAAGGTGAAGGAAAGGAAAAAGTGCATGTCTTGAGTTCTGCAAAGGGTTGAGGAGACTTAGAAGGAATGAAGCAGAAATTGATATCACACACAGCAAGAATTTGTTGTTGCTGGCCTACGAAGCAGATCTGAGAGAATTAATCCTTGTGAGGTCACCTTTCATTCTTAAATAAATAAATAAACAAACAAAAAAAAGGAAATATTGGACTTCCCTTTTCTGCTTAATAGACTAACTAGTAAAGGTAAACTTAGGTTTAAAATCACTTGTAGTGTGGTTATAAAATTTGTAATAGGGATTTTTGTTTCTGTTTATTCCTCTTCAGCATACTAAATAAGCTTACTCCTGAAAAGTTTGACAAGCTATGCCTTGAGCTCCTCAATGTGGGTGTAGAGTCTAAGCTCATCCTAAAAGGGGTCATACTGCTGGTAAGCTGGCAGCTTTTGTTTTTTTCACAACTGTTTTCTTGCTTGCTAAGAGTAAAGAGGTTGGCTTTTATTGATGAGATACAGAAGTAATGTAGCTGATCTGAGGTTTGATGATCCAACCATGTTAGAAATGTTGTTAACCTCCTGTGTGAAAGAACTATACTGGTGAGGAAATCAGAGTTAATGCTCTAACATTCTGTTCAGAAGTCTTGAGAATCACTAAGTGATACTGGAATTTTTATTTTAATCTTGAGGCACTAGTTAACACGGTTCGTTTCCCTGACCTGACCTCCTTCCCCCTTCCCATCTCACTGTTGAACAAGCCTTAGTGTTCTGGGAAAGCTACCATAGGTAGCTAGCTGTTTGTACACAAGTTAAAACCATCACTGTTTTCTGAAATCCGAGATCAAATTGGCTTCAGCGTTGTGAAGAGCAAATTTAAACTTGTTCCATTGTTGCTTAGTGATTGCAGAAGCTCTTTAGCATGCACTAGCGCTTTTTTTTTTTATGTTGCTTCAGCATTAAGAATCACTTGTTAAGCATACAGAAATAGTGGATTTTATTTAGTGGAATAGCAAAGAATATTTAGATGTTGTAGATCATGTAGAGTGGTAGTATCTTGAGTGTCTTGCGTCCCATTTTCCTAATAAACTTGCATTCTGCTACATGTTACCTTACTCTGAATATGTTGATTTAGATCGTAGACAAAGCCCTTGAAGAGCCCAAGTATAGCTCACTGTATGCTCAACTATGTCTGCGACTGGCAGAAGATGCACCCAACTTTGATGGCCCATCCGCAGAGAGTCATCCAGGACAGAAGCAAAGCACAGTGAGTATTTCTCTGGCTATGGAATGATAAACTTAGCTGACATATTTAGTTGCATAGATGAGCTTAACTATTTACTTTGTTCTGTTTTTGTAGACATTCAGACGCCTCCTAATATCTAAACTTCAAGATGAATTTGAAAACCGAACCAGAAATGTTGATAGTAAGCTTTAAAACCAACTTAGTATGGAATTTACTTTTCATCTGTTTTCACAGCTGTGTTAAACAGGATTCTTTGCTTTCTAGTCTATGATAAGCATGATGGTCCCCTCCTCCCTGAGGAAGAGGAACAGAGAGCCATTGCCAAGATCAAGATGCTGGGGAACATCAAATTCATTGGAGAACTTGGCAAGCTTGATCTTATTCATGAATCTATCCTTCATAAGTGCATCAAAACAGTAAGTATTTGGGTTGGGTGTGGGCTTACAGCAAAATAGTATTTCTAATTAAAAATAGAGATACTTAGGTTGTTTTGGGAATCTTGGACCATAAAAATCAGTGTTTACTGTCAATTATAGTACTATTGAAAATAAACAGTCTTCTGGTCCGATTAAAAAGAAAATCTGGCTGTCTTTAAAGCCATGGGAATTGTCTCCAAGTGATAGGTTAATCTGGCCTAGACAGAAGTACTGCAGGTAGTTCAAAGTATGTGGACTTGCATGAGCAATAAGTGCTTCAATTAGCAGTTTTTAATGGAGTTTATTTGTCTTCAGAATAACGTGTTTCTGCGTGTCCTGCTATACACATCTGTTGTTTGTTATAAATGGTCAATTCTAATACGCTGAAATGTTTTAATTCCCTTTTAATGTTTCAGCTTTTGGAAAAGAAGAAGAGAGTCCAACTCAAAGATATGGGGGAGGATTTGGAGTGCCTCTGTCAGATAATGAGGACAGTAGGACCTAGATTAGACCATGCAAAAGCCAAGGTATGTATATATCCACTGCAGTCTTCAAAGTAGTTTTAAAAAGTCTTTCTAGGAGGCTGTTGGGGTATTACATGGTGATAAAAATTAATAAGATTTTTGTAACTCCTATTTGAAGATACATCGGTCCTCATTTGTAACATCCCTTCTTTTTTCCCCCCCCCAGTCCTTAATGGATCAGTACTTTGCCCGTATGCGCTCCTTGATGTCAAGTAAGGAATTGCCAGCAAGGATTCGTTTCCTGCTGCAGGTACAGTGATAAAATAACTTCATACTGCTTTTTTCTCACCAAGTTGTCTTGACTCTTTGCCTAATAATCCATTATGTTCCAAGGATACTGTGGAGTTGAGAGAACACAACTGGGTTCCTCGCAAAGCTTTTCTTGACAATGGACCAAAGACTATCAATCAAATCCGTCAAGATGCAGTAAAAGTAAGTGTTCGGTGTAAAATTCTGTGCTTTGCTTCTGCTTACATGGTAGAGGAAGGCATTACACTGTTCAGTCCATGGCACAAAACTCATCTTTTGCCACGTATAAGTAGTTCTTTTAGTGAAATGTGACGGTAAGGGTTTATGGGTTAAAATGACAAAACAGTTTAGATCTAAAGACTCTTAACTCTCTAAAGGACTGTTACTCCAAACTGACCAAAACAGTAATTCCTGTTTTAAAGGATCTGGGAGTTTTTATTCCTGCTCCTATGTCTCAAGGGATGAGAAGCGACTTCTTTCTGGAGGGACCCTTTATGCCACCCAGGATGAAACTTGACAGGGACCCACTCGGAGGGCTTGCTGATATGTTTGGACAAATGCCAGGTATGCAGAAACTACATGGCTGATATTGGTGATCACAACTGTACTGTACTGAAAATAAGAACAACAAAAACTGTTTTTCATCTCCTAATAATATAGGTAGCGGAATTGGTACTGGTCCAGGGGTTATTCAGGATAGATTTTCACCCACCATGGGACGCCATCGTTCAAACCAACTTTTCAATGGCCATGGGGGTCACCTCATGCCTTCTGCTCAATCCCAGTTTGGAGAACTAGGCAAATCTTTTCTGAAAAGTCAGGTAAGGAAGAACATCGAGTGACTTGAGCATGTTAGCAGCTCTTCTACAGATGCGTATGTTATGGATTATAGCATACTTGTGTTGAAAGACTTCCTCAGATTAGAGTCTGATAAGAACTGATGCTCAGCTGATGCAAGAACTCTAAACCATTTCTTAAAATAGTGCAAGAGATGCAGGGAATACACTTTTTTTTTTTTCCTACAAGAAAAGGTGCATGTGGCTTTGGTGGGTCAGAATGGTGTGTTTTTTATTTAAAAACTAGCCCTGTTTTTAGGGATAGATACTCTCCCACCACCCCTGCTCCTTCTTTCTCCCTTCCTGGCAAATAGAATCTTGTTCCTCTGGTCCCTCTGGTACTACTTACCATATGATGTACACCACTCCATCATCTGCACTTCTTTCTCTATATCTCCCTTTCTGAAATAGGGGCAAAGCCAGCTCTACCATAACCAGAATCAGGGACTCTTATCCCAGCAACAAGGACAGTCGAAGGATATGCCACCTCGGTTTTCTAAGAAAGGACAGCTTAATGCAGATGAGGTACATAACATGCCTACATTACTTAAAGCCTATTCTAAATATTGCCCAATGATTATAGCAAGACGCGTTATTATGAGGACTAATGCTGGAACTCTTTCTTCTACTTCTCCTCTTCTTCCTCCTACTTTGTCCCTTCCTCTTCCACCTTACCCTCACTTTCCTTAGGGTATCCAGCGTCCCATGAGCAAGACTGAGATATGAGGGCAATTTCTTGGGGTATCCTTTCCTTTTCCCCACACCTCCCCAAGAACACTACTCTGACATCAGTTCCCATGCATCATATTGATAACAATAACAAAATTTTACAAGATTCTAAACTTTAGAAGCCCTGAAGTGCTGGACCAGGCTAAATTCCTTTTTTTAAGGAACTGGCTAGTAGGCAAAATGTCAAATGCCAAGTAAATGGCATTGTTATTTCCAGTAAGTGTTAAGAGAAATATATGTATCCTGATTTCTGAGTGATTTGCAGAGTTTCATCTGAGCTGTAAAACTTGACAGCAAACATGCTAAATATCTTCTTGGGTCTCTAACATACTGCATCTAAAAGGAGCAATTCCAGATCTTAATACAGATGGGACTTACATAAACAAAAATACCAGTAACTTGCAGCAAGCTGTGATTCACTGAGTCATGCTTTTGGGGGTGTTTCAGTACATATGTGTGTAGTCTGGACTTGAATGTTACATTGTAGTAAATGGAAATTCATGCTTCAGTGGGGTGAGTTGACATGAGTCCATGGCTGTGTAGTTCTTGGTGAAAGTACTTGAAACAGTTAGAGGTTTTTCTGATTGTTCACAGATTAGCCTGAGACCTGCTCAGTCTTTTCTAATGAATAAAAACCAAGTGCCAAAGCTTCAGCCCCAGATAACTATGATTCCTCCTAGTGCTCAACCACCACGCACTCAGACACCACCTTTGGGACAGGTAAATATGTGTACTGTATGTTAACTGAATTGAGTTTGATTATACTTTCTGCATGTGTCTAAAACTTGGCATACTTTCTAGTATGCAAAGGGAGGGGGGCAGGTTTTCACAACACAGAGCAGGATGTATGGAAAAGAACATCTGAACACGTGGATTTGACATTTGTTGGTACATATTTGATACTAATCTTGATAACATTTTCTTTGAAGTATATACAACACTGTACTTCAAAGAAACAACTTCTGGTACTATCTCTTTTCAGCCTCCTCAACTTGGTCTTAAAACAAATCCACCACTTATACAAGAAAAGCCTGCAAAGACCATCAAGAAACCACCACCTTCTAAGGAAGAGCTACTTAAACAAACTGTACGTTAAATATATTACACAGCTTTTTTTTTAAAAAAAAAAACAAACAAACAAAAAAAAACCTAAAATGTTTGCTTATCTATCACTTTTTCTATAGGAAGCTGTTGTGACCGAGTATCTGAACAATGGAAATGCTAATGATGCTGTCAATACTGTGAGAGAAATGAGAGCTCCAAAACACTTCATTCCTGAGATGCTGAGCAAAGTGATCATTCAATCCCTAGATAGATCAGATGAAGACAAAGAGAAAGCAAGTACTTTGATCAGCTTACTCAAGCAGGAGGGAATTGCCACGAGTGACAACTTCATGCAGGTACTGTGGTCTGATAGCTTCCTAGTCCTTGTTACTTGGTTGTTTGTGATGTCTAGCTTAGATAAAGGCAGTTAACACATCTTGAGTCTTGCTGATTTAAGGAAATTGAAGTAGGGTATAATCTTCTGAGAGGTATGATAAGCAATGAAAGAAGAAATGCAGGTATGGGATTTCGGAAGCAGGGAACCTCTCAGCAAGTGACTTAATGGGAGAGAGAAGAAAGAAATCACACTCCTGTGTAGTGAGAGTGCTGATACGCACAAGAACAAAGTTGCTTCACTGTTCAAACTTCTGTCTTTACTGCTTTGTAGGCGTTCCTGAATGTATTGGACCAGTGCCCCAAATTGGAGGTGGACATCCCATTGGTGAAATCCTACTTAGCACAGTTTGCAGCCCGTGCCATTATTTCAGAACTAGTGAGCATTTCCGAACTGGCTCAACCGCTGGAAAGTGGCACCCATTTCCCTCTCTTCCTGCTTTGCCTTCAGCAGTTAGCTAAGTTACAAGATCGTGAATGGCTAACAGAATTGTTCCAACAAAGCAAAGTGAATATGCAGAAAATGTTACCAGGTAAGAGTCATCATGTAACTGTTATGATACTTAATATTACTGTGAGAGAGAACTTTTCTTCAAGTTTTTTACACCAGAGTAAAATAGTACAGTTATTTTGATGCCGTCAGCTAATACATAATGAGGATGGTGTTTCTAACAGGTTTTCATGAATACCAGCACTTAAGTGTATCTTATTTATTTGTCAGAAATCGACCAGAACAAGGACCGCATGCTGGAGATCTTGGAAGGGAAGGGACTTAGCTTCTTATTCCCACTTCTGAAACTGGAGAAGGAATTGCTAAAGCAAATAAAATTGGATCCATCCCCTCAAGCCATTTATAAGTGGATTAAAGATAACATTTCACCCAAACTTCATGTAGATAAAGGATTTGTGAATATATTGATGACCAGGTGAGATGGTGTCCTGAGGTAATTCAGGCACATGTTTTGTCGAGCTACCAATAAACTGTTAACTGTACAGAATAAGGGTATACACTGAGACAGACATGATAGTTGCACTAGCTGCACGTCCTCTCTTAAAACCAGTTGAATTGGGAAAGAAGTAGGTCTCTCCAGGTTTGCGTCAGTGGGAATTGCTTTGCTTGGGGAGGAGGAATGTAGAACAGTTTCTAAAATGTTTCAGAGCCTTAACAGAAGTGTAGCTAGGATCTTGTGGTGCAATCAACTATAATGCTAAACGTGCTATGTATGCACATAACTGCTGAAACAAGCAGAATGCTTCAGAAACAATTCCACCATTTTTAGTAATAGATAGCAAATTGAACATGAGTACTTTGATAGTTACAAAGCATAGAATCTAACTGGCATATTTTAACTTAAGGATGTTTTTTGTCCAGTTTCTTGCAGTATATTTCTAGTGAAGTAAACCCACCTAGCGACGAATCAGATTCTTCATCTGCTCCATCAAAAGAGCAACTAGAGCAGGAAAAACAGCTGCTTCTTTCCTTCAAGCCAGTAATGCAGAAGTTCCTCCATGACCATGTCGATCTGCAAGTGAGTGCTTTATATGCACTCCAGGTGCACTGCTACAACAGTAACTTTCCAAAAGGTATGTGCATTATCATCTCAAACAAAGCACAAGCACTGTGCTTGTCTCCATGTTTTTTGGGCTTTTTTCTACATTCCTTACAATCAAGTAAGCTGTTCAGATCGTAAACCTAACAATGCAACTTGTATACTTCCATAGGCATGTTACTGCGCTTCTTTGTTCATTTCTATGATATGGAGATCATCGAAGAAGAAGCCTTTTTGGCATGGAAAGAAGATATTACTCAAGAGTTTCCAGGGAAAGGGAAAGCTTTATTCCAGGTAAACTTCATAGTAGCTCTCTTCCGTGTGGTATCTGCTGGCAAGTCCTTTTTCTTCACTTAGCACTATATATATAAACTAGCATTATAGCTGAAACACTTTCAAAATGAGTTGGGGGGTGGGGAGGAGTAGTCTGCAGAAGTGTATAGAGGGGAAACAATTTCTGTTGCTTAAGCCGATTTTATGTAACTGCAGGTGAACCAGTGGCTAACCTGGCTGGAAACTGCTGAAGAAGAAGAATCTGAAGAAGAAGCTGACTAAAGAACCAGCCAAAGCCTTAAATTGTGCAAACATACTGTTGCTATGATGTTAACTGCATTTGACCTAACCACTGCAAAAATTCATTCCGCTGTAATGTTTCACAATATTTAAAGCAGATGTTTGTCAATAGGATTATCTTCTGCAAAAGGTTTTTGTAGTATGTCTTAATAGTCTACAATAAAAATATTTTAGAGTATCTTTAATGTTTAGATAACAGTGTATTAGCAGCATGCAATAATTACATCATAAGTTCTCGAGCAGAAGCAGTCTGTTGCAAGGGTCTTCTTTGCTGCCAGTTATCATAGGCTGTTTTTAAGTTAGAAAACTGAATAGCAACACTGAATACTGTAGAAATGCACTTTGCTCAGTGTAATACTTGAGTTGTTGCAATATTTGATTATCCATTTGGTTGTTACAGAGAATCCTTAACTGTAATCGATGGTTGTTGCCGTAATAGTATATTGCCTGTATTTCTACCTCTAGTAATGGGCTTTATGTGCTAGGTTTTAATATCCTTGAGCCTGGGCAAGTGCACAAGTCTTTTTAAAAGAAACAATTTACTTGCACAAAAACTGATCAGCTGGAGAGATGAATTAATGCCCTTTGGAAGAGGTTTTTGTGGGTGTGAAACATGACATGGTGAAAAATTTGAATTGGTCCCTCTATTATAGTATTGAAATTGAGTCTACTTAATTTATCAAGACATGTTCATGCCCTGATTTTATATACTTGTATCTATCAATAAACATTGTGATACTTGACTTGTTTCTGAATGTCTCCCAGTAGGAAAAACTTGGACAAGTAATTTACTTGCTGTAAGAAAGATCAGTAGGAGCTGACCTAGACTGGGACCAGCTTAAAATAAATCTGTCTTAATGTATGAATGAAATTTAAAAAGTCACAGACAAGATTAGACACTGCAGATTTGCTGACAGGAGGGAAGTTAAGAGATTCTGCTGAAAAAATAGTATGAGCTTGCCTTGTGGTCCAATGTATTCTTGATCAGTGAGTAATTTGCTTTTTTTTTTTTTTAACTTCCTAAAGCTGTAAACTTTCTGAGGTCACATGCATGTTTTTTTTTTTTTTTTAAGGGGCACTGATGATTAGCTGCCTGTTTTTCAAGTAATCAAATTGGCAAAAAAGAAAAAAAAAAAGTTTAATGTTACTGTATAGGCTTGAAGTGTCATCTATTAAATACTCTCAAAATACTTCTTAGAGCTTTGTCCCTAGTGAAATTTTTTTTTCTTCATTCGTACTCTTGATTTTAACTGTCAAAAGGTGGTATGTGTGTAATGGCAAAACACTTTCTTTTTGCCAGTGCTGGAAGTTCTGTGGACTACATATCTCTTCTGCATAACAGAAGATGAAAATGGAACATGAGAAACAACTTCAGATCTTAAAACCATCTTGCTTTGAGGGGAAAAATAGTTTGCAGTTGTGCACCATGCACGGTGCAACTAG